TTGTGTGTGAACGGCAAATATGTATCCAGGATGCACTTTTATGGAAGCACAATAATTGCGTGATGATGCTCGGTAAGGAGAGGCCCTTTTTAAAATGAATTTAATTTAAAAAATATATTAAAAATTAATTTTAAAATTCTTTTAAATTTTTTAAAAATACATCACATCTTACCAAATTTTCACTTTAACCACATGATACAATGTATATGTAAATACTTTTAGGCTGTACATATGATACTGTAATTTAAAGGTACCATTTTAATTTTGCTAGCTTATGTCACAACTATTATCATTGCATTCAGTGATATATAGCAATTATTATTTAGGGGTAACATTACTACAAAAATTACTAAGGATTCTGTATGGTGTGGTATAAAAGGAGGCCAATGGAGGGGTCACACCATGAGTTACTGCACCGAGTGACACCAACCCGAATGATGCCACTGAGTGGATGTACTCCATTGCATCTTAGCCACCCTATACAATGTATAACAGTAAACTAATTGTTGTTGTTGTTTTGTGCCTTCAAGTCGTTTCTGACTTCTGGTGACCCTAAGGTGACCTTATAATGGGGTTTTCTTGGCAAGATTTGTTCAGAGGAGGTTTGCTTTTGCCTTCCTTGAGGCTGAGAGCATGTGACTTCTCCAAGGTCACCCAGTGGGTTTCATGGCTGAACAGGCAATCGAACCCTGGTCTCCAGAGTTACAGTACAATACTCAAACCACTACGTCACACTGACTCTATTACTACTTACTAAAAATGACTAATTACTACTAATTACTACTTACTGAAAGACTAATTTCTGAAAACCTCATTACTACTGATTCACCAGCCAGGCCATCTAAATTACTGACGAATGTATGCTTAGTGTTGAGAAGTTATGGTTAGATGTGTAAAAATTTGCAGCAAGGCTAGTAGGGAAGAAGATGGATTATGAGGAAACAAAGCTGGTAAAAGGCAAATAATTTATCTTCCTTTTTTCTCTTCTTCCTCTTTATGGAGAACTGACTGGGTAAATCAACAGTGGAGACAAAATACATAGTTGGTGGAGTGATAACAACCTGTTTGTACTGCCTGAAAGCCCTGTCCCAGCTACAAACAGTAAGATTAATGTGAAGCCATAGGCTTTCATGGCTGGCATCCATAGTTTTTTGTGGGTTTTTCAGGCTGTGTGGCCATGTTCTTTCTGACGTTTCGCCAGCATCTGTGGCTGGCATCTTCAGAGAAAGATGCCAGCTACAGATGCTGGCGAAACATCAGAAAGAAACTCTTCTAGAACACGGCCACACAGCCCAAAAAACCCACAAAAAAACTATAGTAAAATTAATATTTAACATCCACTGTTTGAAAGGAAACTCAGACCATCCTGAAGAGAGGTTACCAAATAAATATTCTGATATCATGCAACCTCCTTCTGTTATAAACGTTAAACTGACAGCTTTTTAGAATTAATTATGTTCAGCAGAATGAGAGACTCAGCTTTGTTTTAACTAAACAGCTCTAGTTGAAACAATTAAATTTAGATTATCGCACGTCTTTAAAAAAAGTCTTACATCTTCCAATTGAAGACTAATTCGGGCTGCATCTTGGTCCTATGGCATGGTTTCTGCCCCCAAAACCACCATCCAAGTACAGTCCCGCTCCAACAGGGTCCCTTAACTCACTTCAGTGGCCATTTTTCAAAGTCAGTAAGCTCCCGACTTTGAAAAATGGCCGCCAAAGTGAGTTAAGGGACCCACGTTGGAGCAGGGCTGTACTCGGATGGCGGGTTTGAGGGCAAAAACTGTGTGATAGGACCAGGATACAGCCCAAATTAGACTTCAATTCAGGAGGGGTAAAACACTTTTTAAAGACATGTGATAATCTCCTTAGTCATGCCCAAATCCTATTACAAGGTAGTTAGTATTAACTTAAGCTGCTTTGATTTCAACTGATTTTAGCCACTTCCCTAGTGTATTGTTTTGCAAGTATACTTATTGCTTGCATATATTCCAAACCAGAGTATAAAAGGGTGGCATTTTTGGACAATGACTTCCAAAATCTATCTGCCAGCATTAAAAGAAACTTTTTCCAAATTGCTTACTCTGCTGTTGCTGCTGGTATATCCTGCCTTTTTCATAATTCCAGGCAGTTTATGAAAGTTAAAACAAATGCAGGTAAAAATTCTCATTATATAAAAGTTTAAAATGTAATTAAACTATCAATAAAATGTAAACTAGTCCAAAACATAACCATTAAAAAGAAAACAAATAAACAATACAATACATTAAGTAAAGTCCTTCCTTCTTGACCAACCAGTCTTTAAAGGCCTCCCAAAACAAAAAGTCTTCACCTCCTTGTGAAAAGATAGGAAGGGACTTCCAAAGCTTGGGAACATCCACCAAGAAGACTCTCTTCCATGTTCACACCAGATGTTCTTGTGAATATAGTGAGAGAGAGAAAAGACGGGGGTTTATAGACATATAGAGTTTATAGTTCATAATCAACACCAGTACTTTGAATTGTGCTCAGAAACAAACAGACAGCCAGTGGGGTTGTTGAAACAAGGGAATTGCATGTAATGTTGTTCTTGCCTGTGATGCAAGAAACTGATCAACCCAGTTTCAATTGAAAGATTCCTGATTTAACCAGAAACGTGACATGATACTTACCTCCTCACTTGGGAATTATGAAAAATCCTTGCATGTTACTACAGTAATTTGCACTATTTATATGACTTAACTTGTTTGATTGTACATCACATTTATTTTTCTGGAATTATTCTGAAAACATAGTCACCCCTCTGTTTTCATGGACTTGAAGTCCATGTCCCTTGACTGTTTGCGGGTGGCAAATGGAGGTGGACAAAATGGGGCACTGGCCGCCATTCAAGCCTATGGAGCTTGAATATTTGCAGTTTTCTGTTTTCGCAGGGGGTGGGTGGGTTCCGGAATGGATCCACTGTGAAAATGGAGGAGAGACTGTATTTCAGTCCTAAAAGACAGTTTGCCAGCTAAGTATGTGGGGAATCTCTGAGTCTGCAACTAGAGAAAATGCATCAGATATAGTCTGTGAGGAATGCCCAACATAGGGCCTTTGCAGACTGCCAGAAATAGTGCAAATTGAGTCCACTTTAAGGGTTAGGGTTAGTGCTAGGGAATCATGGGAATTGTTTTTTTTCTGAGAGCTTCTCTGTCAGAGAGCTCTGGTGCCACAATAAACTACAGTTCCCATGATTCCCTAACCCTAACCCTTAAAGTGGACTCAATTTGCGCTATTTCCGGCAGTCTGAAAAGGTCCATATGTTAGTTTTTTGTATGGGACAAGCAACTTAAAAATGCATTATAATGGCAGCTTTTAGTACTATTCCTAGGAATCCCCAATAATGCAGTAGGAAAACAAACCATATAGTGAGCAAACAGCAAGTCTCTCCCCCACCCTGAAATTAACCATGTCCATCTCTAACCCTACAATTTCTTAATGGCATACCTAGGAATAAGCTCCAGTGAACACAGAGAAAATTACACATGAGTAAACATGCACAGAATTGTGCTGTCAAATAATGTGTTAATATGGGGTACTGTCTATCAGCTGTAGAGAGCAGGACTGTAATTTCACCCAGTAGGGATCATGCAAGAAACAGCATCATCCTGCCTCTGAATCTTAAGAGTTTCTACAAAGGGATACTCTGTGAGAGAAATTATGGCAATAATCCTCAGAAGGTCTCGATGGCAGTTCTAAAAGCGACCCATGAAAATATCACACACAAATCACTTATATGTGGCTGGTATTGCAGTTATGGTTTCATTACCTACAGTTATGGCTCTGTAACTGGTCTCTATTCAGTTAGACAACATAATCTTACTGGAGGCCTATATAAATGCCACCCAAGTCCACCGGAAGAGACAGTGGATCAGGTGAAGGAGATCCATCAGCTTCGTATTGTGGTGCAAGGAGGATGTTTTTACACACACACCTCCTCCTGCAGGCTCACTTGCTGGTGATAATGTATCGGAAACATTGTCTTCCTTGCAAATCAATTGGAAGCTGCACAGACCTCCTTTGCTTGATGCAGTGGTTGTCTCTTCAGGTGGTCATGGGTGGGCAGGGCCAAGAGACACTACTTCATTATGCAGATGTAACAAACTAGTTGATTTAGGATTCCTGCACTCATGACCAAGTGATTGATGCTGGTATGCTGGCTATAGAAAGTTGGTTCTAGCTTGTAGATTTCACCTGCCCACAGCCATGCTCATGTTGGCCTTCTAGGAGTTACAGTTGAAATAGGGAAATCTTCCAAGTCCTGCTTATGTTACGAAACCTAACATATTGACATGTGGTCTTGGATGTAGGATTATATTTGACAATAGATATGAAAAAAAATGCTTAAAAATGCATTAGATATCAATCTGAATGCAGCTCTTTCTTCAAGCTGATAAGATTTCTCACATGTTGCAATAGAAAGGAATTGTGATTCCACTTTTAGCCTCAAATGGAAATAAATATGTTATTAAGCCTTATGTGGCTCAGGTCCAGGTTATTTGAGGGACTATGTTTTCTGTTATGAATCTGCCTGTGTCTTAAGATATGCTGATGATGCCTTTCTCTCTGTCCCATTATCCTCGCAGGTACATCTGGTGGGATCATGGGAAAGGGCTTTCTTGATAGTTGCCCCCATCCACTGGAAATCACTTCCCAGAGAGGGTAGACTGGCACTCTCCCTACTCTCACTCTGCAGACAATTGAATTAAAATGGTATCAAACTGCATTAATTCTACAGTGTGGCAGCAGCCCTAGAGAACAGTTGTGTATTTCCTAATATTTAATAACATGTAAGAGCTGAAAACATAGGCACACACGCTAAGAGCTGGCCCAAGATATTTTGAGGTAAGGAAGATGACATTCCTTTATCAGATCACACATAGAAGGTGAATCTTAGTGCAATATTTGTCATGGGACAGCATTCTCTAGCAGTCTTGATGCAGCAGCCATTTGTCAGGGAGGGGCAAGAAGTTATGTGGCATACAGATGTCTGTTCTCCAAAGCAAGAAACTTTGGGAGATTTCATGAGGAGCAACTAGGAGGCTGCTCCTGCTGCATCCCAACACCTCCTGTTGGGGGTGATTTCATTCTGCCAAACAGTAAGGCTGGCCCTGCAGAATGCAATGTCTTTCTCTTCTTCCTTGGCTACAAGCATTTTTCCCCTCTGTCCTAACTCCCCACATAGATCTATGAATTCTGAGAAATAAAATGAACCAACACTTCCAAGGAAAATGAGAGAGAGAGAGAGAGAGAGAGAGGGTACAAATGTCACCTTCAAAGCAGCAGAAAAAGAAAGGTCCATTTCTAAATCTAAGGCCGTAAGACACATTGCATTTATTAATTAAGCTATAAGGATCGATACCCGAGACATTTCCTGTGGATTAATGACCATCTGGGAGGAGCTGATGGGGCTGAGGTGCAGCTGAGGGCCATTAACACCAATCAGTCATCAATTCCCAGGAAATAGCCAATGCCAAGGTCACTAAGTGACTGGATTTATTTTATGGGCAATGATAACAATAACAATATTTAGCTCGTCTCCTCCCATTCCTTCCTGAACCAAATGCTTCTCATTTTTATGCAACAGAATAAGTCCAAAGACATTCATGTCATACAAATGAAGAGCAGCTTCTATGAAATGGAAACAAAGGGTTAAAAAAAATAAATTGAAATATTCTCTCTCCTCCCCCTCTCTCACACAGAGCTGCTGAATGTATG